CTGCTGTCAGACGCTCCTGACAGGGTGCACCGAAGTCACAAGAGCACTTCCGTGTCATTCCTGACCGCCTTTTGGTTTATTCCCGTCTTCATTTTTAACTGAGGTGCGACTGAGAAGCAGAGAGCTGTGTGCATTTAATGTGCTCATCTAGATGGTGGCCCAGCTCCCAGTTCAGCCCCTTGGCTGAACGTCACTCTGTTTCCTCTTGTGTTTGGTCTCCAGAGGGAGAAAATATGGAAGGGTGTGGCGGAGCCCAGTGGGAGCGACACATAAATGAACATCTAAAGTGACYGGGTGTGTGAATGCTTGGAAGGGAAGAAAAGGGGTGAGTGCACTGGTGGAAGCTGCTTGGGGTGGGCATAGAGGCCTCTCTGAGAAGCTGGCATTTGAAGTGAGATCTGAGGCGACGGAGTGAGAGATTGCAGGCAGGGAGCAAGTGGTGCAAAGGCCCTGAGGCAGGAAAGAACTCGGCACCTTCAGGGCCAGCAGGGCGGGCTCTGTGGCTGGAGTGGGAAAGAGGCTGGCGATAAGGTGGGAGTGGTAAGCAAGTTCTGGGTCCTGGGGRGCTGGAGAGCTCCACTCCTTGACCACAGAAAGGTTTCAGCCCAGCAGTGACGAGGTCTGGCTTGTTGGGAAAACATTGCCATTATTTTCCCCATTTTACAACTAAGGAAATTGAGGCCTGGAACTATAGCCTGGGTGTACTTCTGAAGGTGGCCATCCTTCTGGGACCCAGACAAAGAGGCTGTGGATTCTTTAGGGGTTCCTTGGGGGATACATCTGATGAGTGGCCAAAGCCCAAGGTTGCAAACTCTTCTTCCTCCCCCGGACCCCCCAACCCAAGCCTGGGCTCAAATCCTGGCTCTGCTGTTTGCCTGCTGTGTGGCCTTGAACAGGTGGCCTCACTTCTCTGTGCCTCAGTTTTCTTATCTGCAAAACAGGCATAATGGTAGTACCTGCCTCAGAAGAGTGAGAATGAGTGTGAGTGGGTGTGAGAATGAGGTAAGTGAACATGTGTTGGAGTCTAGAACAGTGCCTGGAGCAGGCGCCGCSGGGAGGAGGCTGGCTCTTCCCTGTGTTGTGGGAATCCTCTGTTGCTCTGTGTCCTACTACCAGTGCCTCAGGAGGTTCCTCTCCCTGTCACCTACTGCTGCCTCAATGGAGGACCAAGCWGGGAGCCTGTGCGCCATTGTTGGGGGCAATGGTCTTACATCCAGTCCCCTAAAATTGAGGACTAGAGCAAAGCTGACTTCCTGCCTCCTAGTGCCCCCACTCAGTTCTGGCCCAGCCTCACCCAGACACAGAAATGGACCCGACTCCTCTGGCCTTCCCCCCTCTGAGGCCTGCGGACACCTCTTTCCCTGGGCCTCGGGATCCCAGTGGAAAACAGCCTAATCTAGCACCCACCTGGGTGGCACAGGGGGCTCAGGGTGGCTGAGGGGACACAGCCATCGCCCTCTCAGTGCCCCAGCCTCTTCTGGAAAATAGGGTCACAGAGTGCCTGCCTCCCGGAGGCCTGGGGGTTTGAGTAACTGCAGTGCCTGGCCTCGAAGTCCAGCACGGTCACTATTACGGCTCTGCCCATGTCTCCTGTTTTGACAAAGTCGCTGTGGGCATGCCCTGGCCCTTGGAGCTCACACTGGCCTGTCCCTCAATGTCCGAGTCTCCTCCTTCATAGACTAGAGGGGGCAGCAACCCCGAGAGCTGCCGGGGAGAAGGAGTTGATCTGGGGGAAGTGCCCAGGTTGGTCGGCCTGGGGGACTGGGCGGAGGCTGGGCCCGTCCCAGCCTCAGTTTTCCATTCCTGCGTCCACTGGGGATAACAGTGGAGCTGACCTCATCGCGTCCCGTCCCGGGAGGGAGAGTCAAGTGGGTTAATTAACCCAGGAAAGCCACTTTCGCAGCCCTGCACGGGGAAGGGACTCAGGGTGGCTGAGACTGAGGGAGGGGCGCGGTTGGCCACCCCTAACCTCGGTGCTTCCTGACAGCGTCAGAGGGTCTTGAAGGTCGCCCCACGTGCTGTGGGCTGTCCCGAGGAGGAGCTCCCTGCCGTCCTGGCACCCAGCCAGCTGTCAGTGCGCTGGGGCTGGGCTCCAGCCCCTGCCTGGCTTACTTCCCCCTTTTGGGTAATACCCGGGCTGGCGGGTTCACCTGCCCGCAGCCACCGGAAGTTGCGCAAAGGCGGGTTACCTGAGCCCCAGGTGGGCCGGCGAGGAGCGCAGCAACGGGGCAGCAGCACCKCGCAGCCAGGTAGGTGCTGGCGGGRGTGGGAGAGGGTCCTCTGGCCCTGGTGGGGGCAACCCCCGTGCTCTTCCCTCCCCCAGTGGCAGGGACCTCGAGGGCAGGTGCTCTCCTTCAGACTTAACGGGGTCACAGGACTCCTGTAGCCAGTCCCCTCATTTGAGATAAAGGTCGACCCAGGTTCAGAGAGGGCAGCCGGTATTGGGTGTCACACAGCATGCCGCTTCGCTAGAGGACTTCACTGCTAGAGGATTTCCCAGAAGTGAGGGGGAGCAGCTGCCAAACCTGGAACCCCGGTTTCCCCACCCATTCCATGGCCTCCCGAGGATAATGCAGGCCGGGGAAGGAGAAGGGGCTGGGGAGGGTGGGCCAGGTGGCCTGCGAGGCCCAGGGAGGAGAAGGGTTTGTTGGGTTTTGTAGGCAGCATTTGAAAAATCCTCGGGTGGGGCCTTGGGCGGTGGGAGGAGGCCACAGAGAGGACATAGTTCCACCTGGTGATTGGGGCCAAGGCTTCTCCTCACAGGGGTCACTGTGACATGGGACTGTGCAGGTCTGCCCACTGATGAACCTCTGTTTTGTGCGCCTCTATTCCTGACGGGGGCTTAGACGCCCTTGTGGAGCAGGCTTCTGGGGGCTGGTGTCTGGTGTTCAGAGTCCTAACACAGGACAGTGAGTGGAGGTTCACCCTTTCCCCAGGTGCTGCAGACATTCTTGACCTGTCATCTCTTCTTGCTCCCAGCGACCTGACTCCCCAGGGAGGTCTATTTTTAGCTGCAGTTCACAGATAAGGAAACCTGGTGTGTGGAGAAGCCATCTCAGGGCAAGCACCAAGGTGGGTGGGTGAGCACCGGCCCTGGACCAGTGCTCCAAAGCTGGGCTTGGTGACTTGCTCAGCTGGAGGGGACCCTGGGGTCAGCAGGTTCGGTCAGAGGAAGTGGGTGTCAGAGCGGAGCTCCAGAGGGGCTTCTGACCTGGCCCCGCTCATCTGACCTCCTTCCTCCCCACTTCCCAGTTGGTGCTTGGGAGGGATCCGCCTCTGCCACCAACGGGTTTGACTGGTTTGGGTGGCAGCAGCCGTYGGGGAGTGGGGGGGCGGGGCAGAGTCTGGCCACCTCAACACAGCTGGGAGGGCCGCTCCTCCCTCAGACCTTCCTGGGGTTCCGTCCTGAGTGGGGCTGGCCTTCCCTTCCCACCTGCCCATCTCTTCTCCCTCCGGGCAGCGCTGGCTGTGGGGCCAGCCGGGGAGGTTGTACTCAACACTGCTGCTGAGGTCTCAAGCTGGAGACTGGGGTGAGGGGGAGCAGATATGTTTGCAGCCATGTTTTGTGTGTCCAGAATGGGCGGTGTTTTAAAATTCAGTATTACTGGAGATGCAGAGTTAAGAAAGTAGACTTTGCCTGCACTTGTGCCTTGCGTGCCTGCTGAGGGCTTGGGGTGTCCCTCTGTGCTTCATCTCCGTCTGCGTTCACACCTGGCTCCCGTGTACCTTTTGATTCAATGAATACTCACATGAGCTGCGAGCCGTACTGAAGGTGAGCCTCCCAGTGCAGGGACCACTGGCCACGCAGCTCTTGAGAACTTGAAATGATGCTATTGTGATTCAGGAGTTGAATTTAAGTTTTTATGTAATTTGAATTTTTGCTAAAGGTTGAATAGACCCATGGGGCTAGTGGCTACTTAATTGGACAGGGTCTAGATGGCCTGAACTGCAGATCCCTTTGGGGACTTAGACTAAATGCCTACCCTGTGTTTTGCAGATGAAAAGTTTTGGGACTTGGTAGGTGGGTTTTCTTCTGCTCCATCTCCAAGGGCCCTGGAAGGACAGGGGAAAGTGGTGAACCTTGGGCCCTGGGTCTTACTTGGAAACGGGGACAGGGCTAGCTTATCCCTGGGACATGAGGCCCTCATGAATGTACGAGTGGCCGTGTGGATACCTGTGCACTCAGGTGTGGGTCCTCTAGCCTGAGAGTGCCTGCCCTTCCAGCACCTGCTGGGTCCCCTGCTGGGTCCCCTGTACAGGGTCTGCTGGGTCCCCTGTACAGGGCTGTGTGACCTTGGAGCAGCATTACTCAGGGTTGACAGGATCATATCAGCGGGAGGCCCACACTGGAGGCTGACTGGTTCTGAACTTCTCTGGGGTAGGGGTGGGGATTTTCTGCTCCTCCCCTACAGCTCAGCTCCCATGCCTGGGGCATGGCGTGTCTAGGCAGGTGAATGGCACAGAGTAGCTTCCTGCCCGGGAGGGTGAAGGGTGGAGGTGGTACCAGGCTCCTGTGGGCAGTCCAGGTGCAGAGGGACTAGAGCCCTTTCTCTTGGTCACTTAATCTCAACACCCTTGTCACCAGCACCTCCCTGCTTGGAGGCAAGGCAGAGCCTGGATTAGYTTAAGCAAGTTGGTTGCCTCCCTGAACTTCAGTTTCCCCATCCACAAAATGGGGCCATTGACAGGACGCTGAGGTTCCGCCTGCTGGTGCCCGTCACAGAGCCTGGAGCCTGCTTTGCTCCCTTGAAGGTGGGCCTGGCCCTGTCTATCTTCTCTTAACACCTTTTCTCTCTCTGCCAGGGCTGATGCGGCCCTGCCGAAGGGAGGTGATATGGGTGGGGCAATGGGCCTTCAGCTGTTGCTCGCTGCCTGATGATTGGCTCCCGGCGAGGAGGGGCGTGGCCTTCAGCTTATAATAAGACGGGCGTCTCATCCTCGCGCAGCCGGGGTGAGCCTTTGTCTGAGCGAGCTCTGCCCCTTCTCTTTCCTTCCCCCAGCCATTGCCGGCGTCCAGCTGCCAACTCTGTGCCGGGATCCCTGTCTCCCGGTTCTCTGGTCCGTCCCAACGCGTGCCCTCGGGGGATGTAGCGGCCATGCCRGTGGACACGCTGAGCCCCGCGGCCGCCGCCGCCCCCTCCTTACCTTTTCGCCTGCGGACCAAGGTTCCTGGCTACCTCCTGCGGAGGCCAGCGGACGGCGGAGCGCGGAAACCCAGTGCCGTGGAGCGCCTGGAGGCCGACAAGGCCAAGTACGTCAAGAGCCTGCACGTAGCGAACACCCGCCAGGAACCGGTGCAGCCTTTGCTGTCCAAACAGCCGCTCTTCAGCCCCGGGACTCGCCGCACGGTGCTCACGCCTAGCCGCCGCGCCCTGCCCGGCCCTGGTCGCCGGCCCCAGCTGGACCTGGACATCCTTAGCAGTCTCATCAATTTGTGTGACAGTCCTGTGTTACCTGCCGAGGCCAGCCGTACCCCCGGACGGGCAGAGGGAGCCTTCCAGCACCCCCCAGCCACACCTCCGCGCCCACCACCCAGCACAGCCGCCGTCCGCCGAGTGGACGTTCGCCCGCTGCCTGCCTCACCCGCCCGGCCTTGCCCATCACCTGGCACCACCGCCGCCTCCAGCCCAGGCCGGCCACCGGGTTTGCAACGCTCCAAGTCGGACTTGAGTGAGCGCTTCTCCAGGGCAGCTGCCGACCTTGAGCGCTTTTTTAACTTCTGTGGTCTGGATCCAGAGGAGGCGCGGGGGTTGGGGGTGGCCCACCTGGCACGGGCCAGCTCGGACATCGTGTCCCTGGCGGGGCCCAGTGCTGGGCCGGGCAGCTCCGAGGGGGGCTGTTCCCACCGCAGCTCTGCCACTGTGGAGGAGCGGACCCAGGAGCGGGTCCCCTATGGCGTGTCAGTGGTAGAACGCAATGCCCGCGTGATCAAGTGGCTCTATGGGTTGCGGCAGGCACGGGAGAGCCCAGCAGCTGAGGGCTAGCCCTCTAGGACTCGAAATTCACCACAGGACAGATCTTGGAGAGGCTCTTGGCCCTTGACCTCTCCTGCATCTGTTACCTGGGTCTCTGGACAGACCAGAGGCAGCTTCCTTGTTTGAACTTGGTGTAGAGGCAGAAACTTCCACCTAGACCAGGATCCTCTGGCAAGGACCGATCCTGGAGAGGGTTGCTCTTGGCCTTGGACCCTCCTCCCTTCATGCAAGGGTTCTGACATGGGCAAAACCCTTGCTTGGTTCCTGTGCTGGGGCTGGCATCTGGCCATTTAGCCCTCCCCATTGGGATTGGGGGACCGAGGGATGTGCCAAGCCTGTCTACCCAGTGACTGTTTCCTCCTTCCTTCCTTGTCTTCTGTCCCTTGTTGACTTCCTCTTCCTTACCCAGTGGGCCCTGGCTTCCTGGGAACTCACCCTGGGGTGGGGGGTGGCCGGGAGGAAGGGGCCTATCTGCTGCTCTTCCTGTTCCTTGGCAGCTGGCCGAGGTGGGTAGGCTGCAGGGGCCGGCTGGGGTCTGCACTGCTCTGACTTCCCTCCCTTTGGTTAATAAATGCTTGTTTCTTGAGGCTGGGCCTTCAGACTCTTCTGTGTTCACAGGGGGAAGGCGGAGGAAGCTTCGGAGTAGAGGAGGTCAGTGGCTGGCTTGAGCTTGCCCCAGAGAGGGTCCTCAGAATGCCTTATTCATAGAGGAGGAGACAGATCCAGCCAATGAGAGGGGACAGAGCTGGGACAGGACCACAGCCTTCCCCTGCACCAGGAAGTGGGCCGGTGGTAGAAGGTCTGGCAGCCTTGAATGTCCCCCCATCCCCACCCTGCCAAGTTCCCAAGGGGGCAGGACTCTCAGAGAGGGCAAGCACTGGATTCAGGGTCACATGGGCCACAGAGTGTGATGGGAAGTTGGAGTACTTGGAGGAGGAGGTACTTGAGGTGGACAGTATAGCATGGGTGGCCTTACCTCTAACTCTGGGTGATCCTGGATATACCAGTCCTCCTGGGCCTCAGAGGGGGAGCCAGGGGGGACAGACCCTAGTTGGGACTGTGTTGTATTCTTGTATTCTGGGCCCTTCATGCTGTATCCTAATACTTGGGGGCCGGGCGGGAGGAGCCGGCCCTGGGCTGTGAGGTCCCAGCCCCTCCTAGTCTCCTTTCAGGTTAGCTACCTGCCAGGAAACCACTCTTGCCTGGTGGACTGGCTAGGGCCAGGCACACGGAGAGCGACATCCTGGGGGGGCCAGCCTGCCCCAGGGTGGGAGTCGGGGGCTGGGCAGTGTTTCCTCCTGCACAAGCTGCCTGGGCTGCTGCACTCAGGAACAGGAAGCGCTAATGGGGGCTCTGGTGACAGGTTTGATGTAGGTTTTATTTTAAGCATAAAGAGGAGATTTCCGCTGGGCTCTTGACAAATATCCAGATCAGCCCAGCTGTCTGTCCGCCCTGGCCACAACCCGGCCCCCGTTACCTGGTCATGCTGTGTGGTTTGGGAAAGAAGGGGTGATCGGGTAATAGAAGATGATGGAGTTTGAGCTCACGAGAGTGGGGACTGAGGCATGAGGAGGACTGTGACCTGCCACAGGTGCCCCACAAGGTGGACAGTGCAGGAACTGGGCCCCTGGATCCCCATGCAAAAAGAGAGATGGGACCAGTGAGACCAGGCCACAAGGGTGGCTCCCCTTGAGGAGTGCGAGACCAGCCCATCAGGAGCCCTGCTGACCTGCTGGTCCTCGCCCCTTGCTACCCCAGAAGGCGGTGGGCTTGCTGCCTGTCACATAGGAAGGACTGAGGCGCAGACTGGTGGGGGCCCCTGGCTCCTGAGGGTGTCAGGTGCTGGGCTCATCCTCTCACTGAATTCTCAGGGTGACCTTTGGAGAGCGGGTGTATCACCTCAGAGCAGGAGGTTGAACTCAGGGAAGGGTGATGACTTGTGGGCTGTCACAGAGCGGGCCTGCAGGACTTCCCGGGCATGCCATGGTCACAGTGGCATCCTGGGTCCCTGATTCTCCAGTACACTCCTCCCCTCCCTTCCCCATCCGGGCAGTGTGTCCTTGTTATCATTGAGCCCCTCCCAGGTGCCCAGAGGGCACGGAACAGCCAAGCGGGAACAGGTGTGGCAGGCGCATCCTGTACCATAAAGTGGGTGTGTTCGGGGTCTTCTCCCCGGAACAGGACTGCTCGTAGGAACTGGGCCCAGGGAGGAGCGAGAGGGGATCAATCTGTTGGCCAGAGAGCGGGGGGGGGGGCGGGGGGGTGCGTTGGGGAAGGGGCAGAGGCGTCAGTCAGCCTTGATTTCTGTAACAGGTGCTGCCTGGCCCTGGGAGGACCCCCTCCTCCAGGCTTCTGGGGCCTGCAGAGGGAGCAGGTTGGGGGCTCCCCCTCCCGCCCTCTGCCAGCTTTGGGAGCTGCAGAAACAGCCCCTCTATTGTTCCGGCTCCAGTTGGAGGGTGGGCCGCTGCTTTCACGCCTGTGAGGGCCAGCAGCTGCTGCCTGGTCTTCGGGGGCTGCCCAGCCTCCAAGGCAGCACTCCCCTGGGCCCCCTGGGCCCAGCTGCCTAGCCCCTAATTAGGCAGAGAGGAGATTTGCTCCCTGATCTATTTCCCACCAGCTAATTATATACATCCCTGTGGGACTGAGAGGCAGAACCTGGCTGCTCTCTTGTGTCCTAGAGGCGATGCGCCTGGGGAAGCCCCTGCCCACTGGACCTCAGTGAGTCTTTTGGCCGAGGGTGGCCTTTGCTGCAGGAGCTATTGTTGATGACATGGTCTGCTTGTGCCACGGAGGCATTCAGGAGGACAGGGAGATCACCCCTGTCCTGCCTGACAGCCTGGGCCTGGGCAGCAGACAGGGTGAGGTCCTTGAACGCCAGGGTTTCAGGGTAGGAGAGGGACCAGGAGAGAGTGTGGTGACCCACAGGCACACATGTGGGAAGGGAAGGCTAGAGGGGTGTGGGTCCATCTGGACCTGAGACAGAATGCCCTGTCCAGGATTTTAAAAATGCAATATTATTTTTCAAATAATACCCTCATATGTTTCCCCCACCATTTTCTGCCTTCCTTCCTTCCTTCTTTATTTTTTTTGGTACCAGGGATTCAACTCAGGGGCACTCGACCACTGAGCCACCTCCCCAGCCCTATTTTGTATTTTATTTAGAGACAGGGTCTCACTGAGTTGCTTRGTGCCCCACAGTTGCTGAGGCTGGCTTTGAATTTGTGATCCTCYTGCCTCAGCCTCCCCAGCTGCTGGGATGAAAGGCGTGGGCCACCACCACGCCCAGCTCCCCCAGCATTTTATTAAGAAAAAATTCAAACATAAAGTTGAAAGAATTACTCATATACCCACCTGCTGGTACACAATTGTTAACATTTTGCTGTCCCTCTCTATCAAGAATCCACCCATCTAGCCATCCTTCTGCCCTTCCATTAATACCACTTTTTCTTTTTTTAAAGCTTTTCAAAGTTGCAAGCAGTGGGTTTCACTCCAGGCACTTGAGCATGGGTATCATTAACTAGAGTTCAATATTGGCTCCTGTTCCCTTTTTTTTTCTTCCTGGAGTTAAAATTTACATACAGCGAAATGCACAGCTCTTCAATGTATAGCTTGCTGAGTTTAGACAAGTGCATGCTGTACCCCAAACCCCAGTCGGGATATGAAACATCATCATCACCTTGGGAAGTTCCCTGGTGTCCTTCTCTTGCCAATTCCTGCCTCTGCCTCATGGACATCTCTATATATCTATATAAACTCAACAGCATGAGCCTGGCACTGTGGTGCACACCGATAATCCCAGTGACTTAGGAGGCCGAGGCAGGAGGATCCCAAGTTCAAGGCCAACCTCAGAAGTTTAGCAAGGCCCTGAGCAACTTAGACCCTGTCTCAAAATAAAAAAATAAAAAGTGCTGGGGATGTGGCTCAGTGATTAAGTGCCCCTGGGTTCAATCCCCGGCCCACAAAAAGCAAATAAAAACAAACAAATAAATAAATAAATAGCACTAATAAAAACATTCTCTGGCTCCATCCTTTTCTCCCAGCCCTACTTCCCCAAGGCAACCACCTTCAGCTCTTTTTTTTTTTTTTTTTTTTTTTTTTTTTTTTTTTTTAAAGAGAGAGTGAGAGAGGAGAGAGAGAGAAAGAATTTTTTTTTTAATATTTATTTTTTAGTTCTCGGCGGACACAACATCTTTGTTGGTATGTGGTGCTGAGGATCGAACCCGGGCCGCACGCATGCCAGGCGAGCGCGCTACCGCTTGAGCCACATCCCCAGCCCCCACCTTCAGCTTTTGAAGCCATTCCTCCTGGTACTTTCCTCCATACAGATTTTTTTTTAAATATTTATTTTTTTAGTTTTAGGTGGACACAATGTCTTTATGTTCCTTTTATGTGGTGCTGAGGGTCAAACCCAGTGCCTCATGCATGCCAGGTGAGCGCTTACCACTGAGCCCCAGCCCCAGCCCTTTCCTCCCTATTTTTAAGTCACCTGCTTGTCTTGCTGTTGGTTCATTTCAGGAGACCAAGGCTGAGCGATGTTCCAGTCTGATGTCTTCAGTGTGGCTTCTGCGGTTTGACTGTGTGGCTCTGAATCTGCCCTTACTGGCCATAGGACCTCGGGCCTCCTTGGGCCTCAGTTTTCTCATTGGTAAAATGAGAATAATAAGAGCATCTAGGTTTCTGGATTGTCAGGAGGATCACCGTGCGGAGTGCTGAGCGCAGTGGATGTGCCTGTAAGGGGTCAAAAGCGCTTTTTGTATTACTATCAAGGGAGGTTGAGCGTCCCTCACCCCCTCTCCCTTCCATTCTACGTTGATCACACTTTTTTGTTACTTGAACATTTAGTGTAATCTATATCACAACTTTATAAATACTGCTTCTCCTGCTAAGCCATGCCACACATTTTGGTGGCATTTCCTGGGTCACTACCTGCTTTGCTTGTCCCTTTGCTTGGGTTGTCTGACACTCTCACCCACAGTTACCTCCCACACAGCAGCTGAGTTACTGAAGCTGATCTCCTTCCTGAAACTCTTCAAGTGCTTCCCCTTTTCTCTTTAGGGTTGGAGCCAAGTCCATCAATAGAACTTCTTGCAAGCTCTGTAAGGTCAGCATCTGTGAGCACCCACTGTGTGCCTCACTGGGTTCTGGGCACTGTGGTAGCCAGACACCCACATGCATCCCCAAGAGGGATAAGAGCTGAAACTGTGGCCCCTGCTCCCCTCATTCACCCCCGGTCTGTCCACTTACCTGGGAACCCCTCTGCCGGTCTGGGAATCTCAGGCCCTTAGGGAGCCCATATCCATTCACATAGAAAATGGGGACCATTTAGTCATGCTACAACCACCCCCTTCCCACGTGGCTCGGGGCTGTGTTGTGGTGTGTATGTTTGGGTCTCCCGTCCCTCCAGGGGCTCACCGAGGCCTGGGGGAGAGTGACGAGGCTGTGGGTGGCTGGGGAGCAGGGGAGGAAGGGAGTGGCTTCTCAGAGGAGGGACCATTGGAGGGGCCTGATGGGTCATGTGTCAGGGGTGAGCTGAGAACTTCAGGTTCCATGCTTGAGGG